ATAACCCTCTAGAAGTCACACCGCTTATAAGGAGCAGAGGGAGAGTTGTATCAGGTCTGTTTAACTTCCTGCAGCAGCCGCAGCCTGTGGGCTGAGGACAAAGCTTGTGGTGTCCAGTTGGCTTAGATCGAGTCCTGCCAGAATGAAAGAAGAATATGTATGGGCTAGAACACTACCTGGCACAAAGATGGGTCACTACTATTACTGCTGCCATTGTTATTGTTGTTGCTATGATTATTACTGTTGCTGTGGCTTTTGCTATTACCACTTGCGTCCTTCCTATTTTAGCACATTATCTCTCTTATAAAAGGAAAGCTTTATGAAAGATCTGTAATTCCTGAAAATATAAAAATCTAGAGATGAGAAGGGAGAAAAAGAAATGAAACAAAGACCAATATTTCTTCAGGAGAAAAGAATCCTTGCAAAGGGCTACTGGAAAAGATCAAAAAGAGAAGATATCTGAAATAGCTAATCCTTTGAGTTTCAGATATTTTATTCCCATTGGGTTTGCTATATTCAAGTGCCAAGACTTTGCTCCAACTTGAGAAGTTCTCTTTCTGATTACCAGTATATTTCCTGAGACAGATTCAGGAAATGGAAAACAAGAACTTTATGTCCCACCTGTTTCCCCTTTCCTCACCATCTTTTCTGACGATAATTTTTCCTAAGTGCAAAGCAGATCTCAGTTATAATCCTGTCATTTAGTGTGTGTGGCCAAGATACTGTATGGAGCATCACTGTCATTATAACGAATGTATGTGCAAAGAGTAATACCACCAACTGTGCAGATTGTCTGAAATTAGGTATAACTTATGTACACACCCAAAACAATATGGGTTTATCACATCAGTGTAGTAGATGCTTCTTTCTTTGCGTTTACCGGGAAACCACTCTTCTATCTAAAAGCTTCCTATTTCCTTTAGGGTCGGACTTTTTCCTCCTGGACTTATCTTATGGGTCTGTTGATTAGATGGTCCTCAGTTTTCTGGGCTAAGCCCAGCAGGTATTTCTCCTTTCCAAGCTAAACTAAGCTAAGCAGGTAATTCTTTCTTGGAGTCTGAAACTTGAGCAGAGTCAATAAGACTGAAAAGAGGTGGAACTAATTCACTGTATCAGTGATGCCTAAGAAGGTAAGGTCTTTTCCTGCATTATACCAGCACAGTGATTTGTTTCCTCTGGCTTCCAGAACTGCAAAAGTCCTCAGTCCTAAGTCTTTTCCTAGAAGTTCATGATAGCTTTCCAATAAATTCCTTGTGTGTAAATTAATCAGGATTACTATGTTTCTTTTGCAACCAAAAACTATAATCAATCCTCACAGCTCTATTATTAATAATAGGAGGGAAGGTTTATCTACAAATATTATTGTTTATTATTTTGATAAAATGCCCACAAATTATCTTCTTCAATTGTAAGCAATGTTCACCTGCACCGGCCTTTGTATGGAGGTATTTGTACAATTTCCATGATTTGTAGTGAAAGACTAAATCCTGGCTAAAGTTCAAAGCAAAGAGAAATTTACAAAGGAAAGACTGGTCGGCTGATTGAATGTCTAGTCTCACGTTCAATGATAGAGTTACCTAAAGAAATCCTCTGATCAAAAGTAGTAGAGGATGATGCCTGTCAGATGGGCTCTGTATTGGAAGGGCAAAGATGAAGGTGAAAACTCATTTCAAACTCATGTAAATTCCTTACATGTAGAAGCCACAAGCTGCTCTCTCTCACAATTGATTCTAATGACACAGCCAGGGAGGCAGGTGTAAAATCAAGGTAAACAGGTAATACTGAAAATGATTGGTGGGTCCTGTATGTTTTTTCTTGGTCTGAGATTCTGGATTTCTGTCCATGATTACATTGAATCGTTCTCAGTCTATGAAGACCACTGGTTAAGGGGCAATTTTAATTTCCTACACTATAACTTACTCAAGTCTCTCTATCCCTATAATAGAAAAACACTCCTTCTGTTATTAACTGGGATACAGTAATTGTCCAACGTATCATTTACAAAGCTATTGTGAAGACTTACAATGGTGTGCCCTTTGTACCTGGCCACAGGAGGTGGAGTCCCTCACCTGCTCAAGCTGCTGTGATGCTACAGTCACACATTCTCACCCCATGGAATCTAACTTCGCCCCTTTCCTGGTAGAGTGGGTCAGGGCATATTTTCCCACCCACAGAAGCTGGAAGTTGGGTGTTAACACAGGATAGGCTTTGGCCAAGGAAAGTGGATTGCAGCCACCCAGGTTCTCTGAGCTTAGCAATCAGGAGGCACAGTGAGTTTCCATTGTCTCTGTCCCCTCCAGCCATTCACTGTGAAACAACATGACCTAAAGCTACAGTTCTAAGGAGCTTGAGGCACCAAACCCTACCTGCACTACCTAGTGCTGGCCACAGAGCTCCTCTGGCCCACTGCAGGGCCCAAGAACAAAGAAAGAAATGTTCACTATTCTAAGCCGCTCAGATTTGGGGTTACACAGGAACAAGTATGGCATCCTTTGGACAGTTTTACACTCTGCAAAGTCAGAGTCCAGATCTGTGTGGGACATTATTGTTTCCCCACCTTCTAGAAGAGTCTTTAAAGAATAATATTTAATAGGCTGTGAGTGTGTTACATGAGTTTCTTAGGTTCACCAATCAAATGTGAACTCAAGAGCAATTAGCAACCTTGTGTTAGAATTATAGCTGTAAAATCCATGTAAGAACACATTCCACTTTCCCAGTAACTGTATAATCTTTTTGTTTTCTTTTTTTAAGTGAACAAATAGACAGGCAAATATTGTGGATGATATTTCAGATGCTACTTTTTTTTTTTTATCCTCCTGCCTCAGCCTCCTGAGGGCTGGAATTACAGGAGTGCACCACCATGCCCAGCTTTCAGATGCTACTTTCAAACTGTAGAACATACTTATTGTTTCTTTTGATGGTGGAAGGACCAAAAACAGTGGTAAAAATAATTCTGAGTTTATATATTCTTTTATTCAACAAACCTTTGTGCTAAATTCCACGCTAGTTCTCTGCAATGATTAAATACTTCCGTCTCCCTCAAGTTTCTAATCTCCAAAGTAATGGTAATTAGAGGTGGGGCCTTTCAGAGATGCCTAGGTCATATGGGAGGAAGTCTCCTCAGTGAGATTAGTGCCCTTCTGGAGTCTGTAGAGAACTGTCTGGAATCGTGGACTTTGCAGCCTCCACAACTGTGAGAAATAGCATTTCTGTAGTTTCAAGACATCTGATTAGTGCTGTTTTTACAGGTACTAGGAGTTGTAGCCCTGAGCTACATTCCCGGCCCCTGCTTATTTTTTATTTTTGGACAGGGTCTTACTAAGTTGTTCATTGCCCAGGCTGGGCTTGAACTTGTAATCATCCTGCCTCCATCTCCCAGAGTTCTGGGATTATAGGTGTGCACAGGTATTTGGTGATCGGACCCTAAATGGACTAAAATATATGGAAAATAAGATTGTGACTCTTGGTCTTAAATCATATATGTGGTAGTCTTAAATCATATACATGATTCCACTGACATCCAAGTTGGCATTTGACTGGGCCAAGGGTTTGGCTCAGTGGTTCCACTGCGTGCCTCAAAAGCACAAGGACTGGAGTTAGACCCCTGGTTTAAAAAAAATACTCACACCAAGTTGGTGTTTGAATGGATAATGGGTTCTTCCTATGGGGACATAAAGAAAGGAGCAGCTAACTCAGAGTGAGGGATCAGGGAGGACTTCTTTGAGCAAGTGATAGTTAGCTGTGTTTTAAATAATCAGTAGAGCATACCTGAGTGAGTAATATCACAGAGGACAAAATATTGACTGCAACTCTCCTCAGAAATCCCACAGCACACAGGGTGACAGAGACCTAAGGTACCACTGGGACATGTAGTGCATGAGAACAGTGCTTCTATCTACCTGCACTGACCACAATTCTGTCTTTGCAAGATCCCTAATCCTTTAACCCAGTGATCAATTTCACTTTGGCAAACAATCCAGACAAAGCTTAAAATACTTTCAGACAAAATATTCACAATTTCAAAAATAAAATTCTTCATAATAAAATAGTACTTGATTTGGGGACAGAGGCAGCCTATGAAAGTGTAGGAACTAATGCAATGAGATAAAATCTGATAATTCACGAATGATCTCACCACTCAAAAGACAATATTCTGGGCCATTTTATGTCCCCCACAACTTCACTTTAGCACTCACAACATATAATAAAACTATCTTGCCATTATATACATTTTGGCAGATAACTAAGCATAATAACAAAATACTATTCTGATTTTGTGTCCTAACCTTTTAGAGAAGGTAAACCCTCTTTAATTAAAATATTATACAAAATGACCAAATGGACGTGGCAGTAATGTAAAATAAATCGGCCTTTTAATCATCACTAGTTAAGACAATTGGTTGGGCCTGGTATTTTCAGTAGCAAGCTAAAATCACTTCATGTGATAATTTCCAGGGTCAATTGTTGGTGGTTTTATTCAAGGCAGTCCACTCCACCAGCACTATTTTTATCTGCCACTACACCAATGTATCTTGATTAGCATAAATTAAACTAAATGAATTCTGCGGATTACTAAATTATTTTACACTGGTCTTTTCCCCCTCTCCAAACACTGAAAGATTAGGGATGGGTGAATGGTTTGATGGCAAATTCCAACATCCAGCTGCTCAGTCTCAGGTTAAAAAAAAAAAAAA